AGTATTTACCTTACATTCCTCAATCACGTTACAAGTCATGATGATTTTACAGATTTCACCTTGCCACACAAGTCTCCAGAAATCAGCAACAGTATTCTCTAAAGGTCCTACATTTCAACAAGTTTAAGCTTTAAAACTTCTGACTTTCACACCTCACACTTTAAACTGAGTTGAAATTAGAATTGACCTCTGATCAAAGCAAACTGTTTAAATTGACCAGAACTAAATATCAATCTGTTAATGAGTATAGCTAATTATATATATATATATATATATACTGTTCTTACGTTCTTAATTATAAGGATTAGAATACATTGTTTTATCATTTGGGTCCCCTCGTTTTTAGAGATTTTTGGCCGTAATCCCAATAATATCTCAGAAGGTACGACCAGCTTAGGATATTTAGGATAGTCCTAACAGTGCAAAATAATTTTTATACTAAAAACAAATAATACAGTAAAAAATAAAAATGTTAAAGGTTATAATTAATAATACCGGTGAAAATAAAATTAAAGAAAGAATACAGACTCCTAACAATAAAAACAAGTATTTTTGTTTCGAAATTAACTCCCTACAGATAAACAGAAGTTTTAAAATACATTTCACAAAATAATATTATTAGTTTTTTCGTATATGATAAAATTACGTTATACACTGGGAAATCTAGAAATCCCACTGTTTGTTTAGTCGACGCTTTATCTGCCTATCTTCATTGTTTATGTCTCTGACGAATAACAAAGGGCTAGTTTTTTAAGCAGACCACTGTGATACAAATAAAGTAATGTTTTTAAGCTTGGAGTAAAATACATATTTTTATATAAATTTTTAGTAGAAATTATCATGGCAAATATCTAAGCAATAATCACCAGAAACCAACATGGTATAACACATATCTAACACTGAAAGTTGTTTGGCTGAAAAAGGACAACTTAAGTCCCTAATTAGACGTAGTTTCATCTGCTTCCGTATGTCGTCATCAAAATCCAATATTTTTTTTCTAAAAAGACGCTTATACAACAAAAAACTAGCACGTCAAACTTCTACATATCAATCTTCTTAATATACAACGGAATTTCAAGTCCCATGATTGTACTTGAGTATGAAAATTAATTGACGAACAGTAATAGGTTATTAAACGTGTAAAGATTCTAATTGTCTTTAAAAAAATAGAACCCTTTTTTTTTTCAGGTATAATTTTACTTACCCTGAGTGCATATGTAAGCTTTCGGTGCGTTATAACCCTAGCAAAGAAAACGGGGGAATTTGTGAAAATCAAAATTAGATTTCATATACACAGAAGTAACAGGCGAATTTCAAGATTAATTTGTACATACGGGTTGGAGATATATTAGTTTATACATATTAGCACTTGTATTGACATACAGTCAGTCAGGAGATATATCTGTTTATACACACATATATATATTGGCATAGAATCTGGAGAATTATTTATATGTGAAGACAATATTAAACTAAGATTTCAAGGATTTTTTTATTACACGTTTTATTTTAACGATAGATTTATCGACTTATCTATAGTTCATCGGATAATTTTCTACGAAATGCTTTTTTGAGCATTTCATGCCTCGGAATTATCAGCTGAGAGATGTTTTTCTGGAAGATTCACTGTGGAACCTATTGTATATTTTCCCTTTTATGATTTAGTCAGTATTCAATACTTACGTCAATGTAGTTGGCATTGATATAGTCTGAATTCGGATCATTTTTCAAGGGATTTAACACCACCCTTGTTTCGTCGTCTGAAATGAGAAAAATCAGACAAATCAATATCAAGTCTTTCAGACTTATAGACATTTCAATTAGCAAACAGTGTTTTTTAAGTTAGAATAATCCCATGACTGAATCATTGTACGATCAGGATGTTAATTATGAAAAAACAAGGATGCTTTCGTACACAAACATTTTAATGTCATATATTAATAATGTGCCATCATTTCAAATTACTTTTGCTAAATATATGGAGATTTTGAAAAAAACCAATCGGAAAAATAAAACAGTTACCAACTCGGTTGTGTGAGAGAAAACTAATTAAAGACAATTAAAACTATTCCATGGCGAAACTATAAAGGTTATATTCTGCCGTCTCTAATTTTTAGATTCTGACCAGAGGGAAGGCTGCCACTCAGCAGCATCCTCTCACCCATCATCCACGCTAAGGAATTGGTTGTCACACTTATGACGCATTCAAAGCTTAAAATGAACACCCATAATCCCCGCTAAGCAATTGGTTGTCACACTTATAACGCATCCATATTTTAACTTCAAATGAGCACCCATCATCCACGCTAAGGACTTGATTGTCACACTTATAATGCACCCACAGATTAAAATGTGAGAAAATATATTGTGGTATTGTACGGATTCGAATCCGGTAGCTCCGAAATTCAGAGCTTTACCACGCGGTCAACTTTTTAGTACCGACTAAACCACTTAACGTGTTACACTTATTTAAATAGAAACATAGTAATGGATATAAAAATCATACAAGTTAAACATTTATTTTAATATCTTGTTAGGAAGATTGTTTGACAAATGATTTTTTTTTTGGTTTTTTTTGTTTTTGTTTTTAGAAACTACTAATTTTACAGAAGGTAGATAACATTCATCACGGGTTAAAAATGAGAACCCGCTCCGTTGGGATGCAATTAGTCCGATACTAAAAAAAAAGATATTCTGGGTGGATGATAAGTTCCTCTGTTTATGTTTATCTGTTTTGAATTTCGCGCAAAGCTACACGAGGGCTATCTGCGCTAGCCGTCCCTAATTTAATAATGAACTACTAGAGGGAAGGCTTGTTTGTTTGTTTTGAATTTTACGCAAACCTACACGAGGGCTATCTGCGCTGGCCGTCCCTAATTTAGCAGTGATTAGCTAGAGGGAAGGCTTGTTTGTTTGTTTTGAGTTTTACGGAAACCTACACGAGGGCTATCTGCGCTGGCCGTCCCTAATTTAGCAGTGATTAACTAGAGGGAAGGCTTGTTTGTTTGTTTTGAATTTCACGCAAAGCTACACGAGGGCTTTCTGCGCTAGCCGTCCCTAATTTAACAGTGAAAGACTAGAGGGAAGGCAGTTAGTCATTACCACTCTTTTACCAACGAATAGTGGGATTGACCATCACATTATAACGCCCCCATGGCTGAAAGGACGAGCATGTTTGGTGGGACGAGGAACCCGCAGGTTGCGAGTCAAGCGCTCTAACCTGCTGGCCATGCTAGTGGTTCGTTGGTTACCGTATTTTTTGGAATATTAGACACACCCTTATTTTGAAGACAGAGTTTTGTTTGGGGGGGGGGAGATACAGTCGCATTTGAAGTATTTTTATTGAACAAAAATTCAGATTTTGACATCAAATGTTGGGGTAAAAAAAATACGTCTTATACACCGAAAAATACGGTATGTTGGATATTCGTGAAAAGCTACCGTTGAATCTGGAAGCTTCAAACTTACATATCATGTTGCATGTTCTTATACGCATGCAAAATAGGGTAAAAACCCGACCTACAGTTTTAAATATACGATACATTGTTTTATAAATAAATACATTAATTAAACCACTCAACCCTTCAGTTAGTTTTTCTGTCGCTGTACAAAAATAAAGAAAAGAAACTCACATGGAAGAAGGGTACTGTATCTATTTTTGTTCTTATTTTCAAGCTTCAGGCCCGCAGTCCAATCTTTTAACTGTCCTGTTTTGAGCATCTGAAACGAAAGTAACGCTGTCCAACTTACAATCCTGAGTGGATTATTTTACATGTAGTGCTCAGCATTTTTAATTGCCTTATTTTAACATTTCAAACCAAAGCAACATGTCTTAAACAGGAGTTTCGAAGTACACGAACGTGTATACATAATTAGGTTTGATTTATTTTAATTATGATAAGATGGAAAATAATTTAAAAAATAATAATAAACTATAGTTAAACAAATAAACAAGTAAATTCTCCTCAACATCAGAGTTGAGAAAACTTTGAGAATTGCTAATCTTAAGCCTAAAATTAATCAACAGAGTAATGGTGTTACTTTTTGAAAGGGTGAGATATGAAATAAATCAGATTTCTTACAATTAATGTATTGGATTTTTAAGGCCCCATAATGATATAAATCCAATGTGAAGCATCATTTCACGGGTACAGATAATCAGTTTAATTCAAGAAATAAAACAGAACTTTAGATTATTATAAGCATGATAAACGTTGTTAGATTTTGCCTTATACTTTATATTTTCAAAAGAAATATTTTTAGAACAGAAAAAAAATCAATAATTTAATAAAATCGTGAAGGTTTATTTTCCTTGGCCAAAAGGTGGCGATAGTAGTAGATCTCGTATCAGTTTTGAAATAACTTTGCTATGTTTTGCTCAGAATACACATTAGGCCTGTATTCAATACATCTAATTATTGTAATAATTATGTTTAGACACTTCTAAACATAAAATAAACTAACAAAAAATTACTTGTAATAAAACGCAGTCAACATTTCTGTGGTTACACAAATGAGCCCAATCTATTTGTCGTTACTTGTATTTTACATACAAATTAACTTGAAATGTAAAATGATAACGTGAAATCAATCACGATGATTATCTTAATGACAGTCGTGGATATTGTTTTTAAGTATGTTAATTATTTTCCAAGTTAAACATGTATCTTAAGATTCAAACAACAATAATAACGTTTAGAAACTGCAGAAATTTACTTTGAAATTTGCAATTTTGCGGAAAAAATAGGTTCTTACGTTATACTGTTCTGCAAATCCTCCATTTTCACTCATTGTTTTCACGTATTTTTCAAGATCCTCTAGTTTTACCACATGTTGTTTCTCCGCACCAGGTGGCGAATCGTAATGCTGGATCTCAAGTCCTGATAAAGAAATGTTTTTATCATGCTGTAATTTTTCGAGTCCTCAAAACAAAAATTATACATATATACGTACATATTACACAGATAGCGATTTAAAAAATAAATAAAGGAAGTTCAACATCACATATCTTTAATCAACAATATCGTAC